GTGCCATAGGTATCCTCGTCGTGGGGGGGGGGGGGGGAGGGATAGAGGAGGAGAGGACGTCGCGCTCTAATATTTCCCTCAGCAAAGTCTAAAAACTTTACTCTCTCGGCTGTGTTGATGCGGCAACTCCGCTCGGGTGTTTTAAGCTTTTAAAAAGAGCGACGTGGGCTCACAACGACGTCCGCGCGTCTCGGGAACGAAGGGTGGAGAGGGAGGGAAAACGTTGCGCAGGGCGCTGCTTTGAAATATTAAGTGACTGATGGATGAGGCTCCTGAGGGGAGGAAAGAGACGAGGGATCCGGGAGAAAGACGCGCACAAGACGAGTATATCTCGTCCTTGCTCCAATGTTTCCCCCATGTTGTCCTACCCCTCTGTCCTGCATTCGACCCTTATTCCGCCCTTACTCTTTTCTCCCGTGCTTCTCTATACGAATGTGCGTTTCTTAGGAATTTTAAGTATGTTGTACACGATCACTACGATCAATGTCGTTTCCTGAGTCATCGACGCACGGATGCGTGAGATCGCGAAGTGCAATTATAGCGGTACTCGCGACGATAATGTTCAGTGGAAACAGGAGGGAGGAAAAGCAGAAATAATCGATTATCACGATGAGAAAATAATAAACCGATCAATATTTATCGTAATATTATAGTTAATTTAATAATACGATTTTATATAAATCATTATCATTTTATTAATATTGTTATTTTAATATTTACACATACACGCATACAACTTTCACGTATATGATATTAAAAATTATTAGTTTTGTAGTTCATTTTATTTTTTTTAAATTCTGTATTTTATTATTAATATATCATATTCTAATCTGTGCAATATTTTGATAGACTAATCAATCTTTTCGATATCATAATTTTTTATCAATCAATCAATCAGTCACAAAGTCGGATCACTAACATCGGTAATCCGAAACACTTATCGATCGATCAAAATCCGTATAACCTCGAGCGAATTTACGGCGCACGTGTTAACGTTACGGTCGCATCGATGCTCCAACACGCGTTGTAGAAGAGGAATCTAGCTACACGGAAGTACTCAGATAGAAACAATCCGTTACAATATGATTACAATTTGCGTAACATTTTACGGAGTCGAACGAGATACCCATGCCGTCATACGTGACGTTATCTCGGCGATTC